AAAGTCAAAAAAATTCAAGCATTAGGTCAATGTTGTAAGAGAAGAACAGTATTTAAGGTGGTACTACTCTGCCTTTCACAGCTGTTCCGTAAGCACTGACTGACCACAGCACAAAAAACAAGGCACAACAGACCATGGACCCTTTGTTCAGGGTTCAGTACTTTGCACAGTGCCCTGGAAAACAGAGAGAGACTAACTTCCCCCAAGTACTTTAATGGTAACTGCTGACAATGTCTTCTGCCTTGCAATACAAAAGTATCTCACTTAAAGTCTAGTTGTAGTTTTATAGGAGTTTTAATACTTTCCCAAGACTAATGGGAAAGAAGTTTTTATTTCCCTGGTTATTCAAACAAAACGAAATTCTAGTAATTTGGCAATTTACCCAAGAAAGCGAAACAAAACTCCGGAGTCTAACATACAAGCATGACTAGTGTGCCCAAAACGGCCAGTGCGTTTGCATGCACCGCAAATACAAAAGGAACGCATGGCATGAATCGGTCTCCAGTGAAGACAAAGAGCCTGGGCCTGGTACCTGCTGTTCTAGTATGAGGTTAGCTGTGGTTTGTCTGTTAATTACCGGTCCTTCAGTATTTAAACTGCCATGTTTGTTCTTTTCACCATTCTCTAACTTAAGTGGTTGGTAATAAAAAATTGTTTCCCCTGTATTTAGAAATCTTTTTTGATTTCTTGTGCCACCCTGGCCCCTTTGGACAATGTAAGGCACACGGCCCCAGTTTTCCCAGCAGAGCTCGTGTCTGACTCTGAGAGGTGCTCCATCCTGCTTTAATACTTGATGTGGGCACAGTCTCGCGGGATAACCGGCAGCACCTCTTTTTCTGGTGTCTTGGCTGCTTTGAAATACAGGGTGGGGCAAAAGTAGGTTAAGATTTTATGTATTCATTTTTAGAGAGAGAGGATGGGAGGGAGAAAAAGAAGGAAATACTGACCTCACATGCACCCCAACCAGGGACTGAACCCCACAGTCCAGGCTTGCACCCTAACTGGGGATCAAACTGGAGACCTTCATTGTGCTGGACAACACCCAACCAAGCCACACCGGTCAGGGCACAGTTATTCATGTATCGTTATTCAGTTATTATCATCTTCCCTTCGAACAACTGTAAGCCTACCTCTGCCCCACCCTGTGTAGTGTACTGGGCTCCTCTGCCTTTGTTTAAGGTGCTGTAGAGACTTCAGGGAACCAGATTCCCTCATTTAGGGCTCTACAGTTCTCAAATGAGCTCGGCACTCAGGGGCGTCCTCTAGTTAATCCGGAAGCGAGCATCACAGATTAGGCTGCCTATTGATTATGACGGAGCTCAAAGGAACTTAGATGCCAGAATGTATCCTTTCTTTTTTTGGTGAGAAAATGGAGACCTTACGAAGTCATTTGTCCAGTGTCATCCAGCTGTTCATTGGCAAAGTGAAATTAAGAAGCCAGGTCTTCACAGGACAAGTGTGGGGGCTGTTGCGGGTGGGGGTGGTGGAAATGGAGGGGGGTAAAGGGGAGAACAATGGTGATGAAGGAGATCTGACTTGGGGTGCTGAACACACAACAGTGTGCAGGTGATGTGTGGTGGAATTGAGCACCTGCAACCTGTGTAATTATTAACCAGCGTCACCCCAATAAATTCAATACAAAAGAAAAAGAAGTACATAAATAAATAAATAGAAAGAACCGAGGTCTTCTAATTAGTGTCTTTTTCAGTTTAGTGATCCGCAAGTATATGGAGTGAAATAATTACCCTCAACTGATTAGTCTCAACCAATCATCTGCTGCTACGGAAACTGCGGGCAGTGGACCAGAAAGACTCCTTGAAGCAACATGGGATTTTAAAGACATTAATGGGTCTCACCACCTGCCGGCTGGCCGAGCAAGATGCAGCTCGGCCAGAGTCTTCCCATTATTCTTTCAAAGTTCAAAAACCAGAGTGAGTCATGAGGAAGAAACCAGACAATCTGCACTGCAGAGCTCTTTATAAGCCATCTGGCCTGGATTCTTAAAAAAAAAAAAAATCAGTCCCCTGAAAGAATGAAAAGTGGGGTACTGTTCTAGATTAAAGAAGAGACTACTGTTTTACTAGAGTCAAAACCCTTGCTACTCCCCTGAAGCTATAATGGGCACTTTGGGGACAACTGAGATACCTGAATATAAACTGTCATGTGAAATCCTTTGGAACTGATGATGTTGTGATTATATAAGAGAAGTATTTAGCAGCAAAATGGCTTAGTAAAATAATCAAATCTGTGTGAGATATACATGCACGTTCAGAGGGAGAGAATGAGCATACAAATGAAGGAGACAAAGCAACGGTGGAAGAAAGTTAATGACGGGTACTTTATTATCTTAATGCGGTAAAATCACTTAAAAAACGAATACTGAGTCCTGGCTGGTGTGGCTCAGTGGACTGAGTGCCGACCTGCGAACTGAAAGGTCGACAGTTCCATTCCCAGTCAGGGCACGTGCCTGGGCAACAGGCCAGGTCCCAGGTTGGGGGCACGTGGGATGTTTCTCTTCCTCATTTTCTGTCTCCCTTCCCTTCTCTCTAAAAAATAAATAAAATCTTAAAAAAAAAAACAAAACCGTATACTGAATGAACCACAGTTACGTTGGTTCTTCTCTTGCCCTAAATGACCTTTTGGTGAATTTGTCTTAGTTTTCATCACCTATTAAAAATGTAAATGCAGCCCTGGCTGGTGTGGCTCAGTGGTTGAGTCCTGGCCTGTAAATCAAAGGTCGCCACTTTGATCCCCAGTCAGGGCACTTGCCTGGGTTGCAGGCCTCGTCCCCAGTAGGCGGGCACAAGAGAGCCAACCACACATTGAGGCTTCTCTTTCTCCCTCCCTTCCCCTTCCTAAAAATAAATGATAAAACCTTAAAAAAATGTAAATGCCACCTGCCACCTCTTTCATAAGAATACTTAATCTTTTAAAAAACAATGCATCTGCCTGGTATGGATCGTCCAAGATATAATATTATAGAGAGCTTCTTATCTGCAAGTAGAAGTCAAACAAATTTTAAATTCCCTGGTATCCCCCTAGATATTCACTTGGAAGGAAAACAAATTCATTTCAGTGTTAGTCTGAGCAAAACAATGAGAAAGAAAGTCTGTTCCCAGGATTCCCAGAAAGCACCCTAAAAGTAGAACAAAGAGGCTCTTCTGATTATTCTCAGTTCTTGGTTCTCTGTACCATTATTTTTATCAATACAGGAACTGAGTGTTGATTACTAGGGAGCCTTGATGAACTACTGTAAATGGGTATTCTTATTAATTATATTCTAGCTTCAGATCACCTTATCAACTTTTATTCTCATTAAGAGAACTTTTTTTAGTCAGTTTCTTAAAATGGTCTTGTAAATTTTCTGATATCCTCCACTGGAGGTAAATGTTACGCAGCCTCTTTTTCAGCACGATTCCAGTTTATGAGGAAACCCTTATTTACAGTGACGTGTTTTCTGTTGTTTGCTCAGAGCAGGGAAATGCTTTAGGAATGATTCACTAACACTGTATCATAGACTGTCTAATGCCGTCGGGATCTGTGATGAAAGGATCCGTGGAGCTCACATGTAGAGGGAAAACGGACCCTACCAGGGACCATCCTAGTCTGGACGCACAAGAATGATGCAATGGGAACTTAGGAATACCACCTGAGTCAAGTTCAGAGCAGAATCATAGGCGGCTCTGCTGGGGTCCCAACACTCGAAGGTACAGATGTTTTCTAGAAGAGGGAAGCGAAGGAGAGACTGCAGGCAGGAGAAAAAGCAGCTCCACGGGCAGACCTCTCATATGATGTGGGGGGAACAAGAGCTCAACGTTTGTTTCCATCACTCTTTTTAAGTGCAAAATACTGGAAGTAGGTACAGGGAGAAACCTCTGTCAAAGGTTATCTTTTGCTCCTAGTCTCAAAAATCATGAAATTGGATTTATATGCACAACCACCCTTTTAAGACAGTACCTTCTTCAACACTGGAAGAACCCATACCTCTGTTTACCAGGATGCATAGGAAATAATGATGGTGATAAGAGAATTTGTGTTTTTCTCTTTAACACCCCTACTTGCTTCCCCCGCCAAAAGCTGCCAACCCTGGAGGTTCTCAAAAAACAGTTTCTTAAATTTGGCAAGTCTGTGAAATAAAACAGGTAGAAAGTGTGTGTGGGTGGCAGGGCGGGGAGGTCATCTGATCACTAGTCTAGGACATCTAAAACTCTGCACATCCAAAGCCAGTCTCATTTTAATCTAAGTCACGCTTCTATAGCTACTTCATTAGGTTATACGTCATTTTAGTTTTTTTCTGAGAGGACCGTTCTTCCGCCTTGGAGGAAGCCTCTGCTGCCCACCCGCGACGACCTCATCTCCCGCATGCCCTGGGCTTGCCCTGTGCTTGCTGGAGCTTTGTCTCTGTGCGTGAGGCGCAGCACTGTTGTGGCGATGATGCCGCAGACAGGGTTGTGGACTGACCCCTTCACTGTGAGACTAGAATCTGCAGGAAGAGTGAACTGTCCCCCAAATATTATAATTTCTCACTTAAGTACCTGTTAACAAAATCAATAATCTGATGAGATGAAGGAAAAAACCCCAAAAGCAGCAATAGGGACAGTGTGTTTTCCGTAAGACAGCGATAGAGAGCAGTGGTTCTCAAAGCGTGGCCCAGGGGCCCCTGGCATCCCCAAGACCCTCACACGGGTTTTTGAAGCCAGCTGTTCTCATAGCACTAACACGTCATTTGCAGCTTCCACTCTCAATTCTCACAACATACAGTGGTGTTTTCCAGAGGCAACATGACATCTAATGACATTGCTCTGAGAGTTAATATACTGTGTATTCTTGTGCTTTCTAGAACTTTCTAAGGTAAGCTTTTAGGGTCCTCAGTAACTTTTAAGAGTAGAAAGGTATCTGAGGACAAAAAAGTTGAGAACTACTGGCACAGAGAAAGAGCTATGAGGAAGACAATGTGCCCAGTTTTTAAAAAAGTAACAGTTTCTCATTTTTCTTCCCAGTTTCCTACCAGTGAACCCTCTATAACCGGAACTTTCTAGCACTGGGAGAAAAGATGTGATGAAAGCCAGAGAGCATTCGAGAAACAGCGTGGGACAAAAGCAGGTAGCATTTCTATTTTGTTACCAACGGGAAAATTTTATTCCAGATAATATGCAAGACTTATGAATTTAGCCTTTAGTCAAGTGTATGTCCTGAACCACTAATAGGAGCCCACTGAATTTATAGGAGCTCCTCTTGAACCACAAAGAAAAACATTTGACAGGATCTCCCTAAAAAACCTCTCGGAAAGTCTGTCACACGCCTTTTCCCGTTCGTAAGAACACTGTGCTTCTGCATCCATGCCGCATCTTCAGCATCAGCTTTAATCTGCTCCTGAACTAGGAGTTCTTTGACCTTTCACAGTCTTGATCTTTGCTTCTAGTTTCCAAACCCCTCCTACCTGCCCGGAGGGCCTGGGTGACGTCTGATGCTGCATCATCTCAAATTTGTCTGATTTACTGGAAAACAACTCAAAGTACAGGTTTTGTCCTCACAAAAGTTGTGTTCAACCAAATAATTTTAAATGCATTAGAAGAATTAAATATTTAAAGAATGATTTTTGTGTAACCAGAATTTCCAAACTCTGGGTACATTTTTGGCACAAGTCGATGGCAGAAAAACAAAAAACAACAAACAAACAAACAAAAGATTTAATGAAGCATTTGGGCAGTCCCTCAGAAATGACTGGACTGGACAAATTTCAGTCATTCACGGTGAGAAGCAGCAGAGCCTATCATCAGTGCAAGTGCGCAAACATCTGAACCCTACATAAACCAGCTCGTCAACTGAGTAGTTGACATTCAGCTTATGAAACTAAGTCTGTTCTTCATTAACATCACTTTCTTCCAAGCATACCCAACCTTAATTCCCCTAAAAATATAATAAAAGGAACTATGTGTCATTTATATACTTCATAGCAGCACATATACTAAAGTTCCCTGATTTTTCTGGCAAACAATTCTTCAGGTATTACTGGCCACTTACACAGAAAAGGCATGTGAAGTACTGCCTCCAGACTGTCAATTTCATATAAAGAGCATAATTAAATTAATGCTGACATCTAGTGGTGAGAACATCTTTCTTTTTTGATGTTAACCTGAATTGTACCCTATGACACAAACCAAAGAATCTAAAACCAAAGACATCTTCATACCTAAAACAGATTACAGATTATCCATTTAATCTAAGAATACCCATCATCCAGGAATAAGTTCCCCTTTGCTAAAGCTGATTAAAAAAACATCTCTGAGATATAAAACTGGCTGCAGAATCTTTGGGGAGCGGGGTTCACAAGGGCTCCTTGTGAAAAATCTTTGTTTGAAACTAGATTTGTATGCTTAGAAGGCTAGAATAGATAACTGCTTAAAAATTAAGAATACAACTAAATATTTCACTTAAAAGAGGTGTCATTTAATAAATTGGGGGATGTGTTTAACTGTCCTTTGGGATGGGCTGGTTACCCCCTCCTTTAAAAATGTTTTTAATTTTTTAAAAAGTAAAACAACTGCCCTGTATGGTGTAGCTCAGTGGATTGAGTGCAGGCCTGAGAACCAAACAACCGTGGTTCAATTCCCAGTGAGAGTACATGCCTGGGTTGCAGGCCAGTTCCCGGCAGGGGACACACAAGAGGCAACCACACAATGATATTTCTCTCCCTCTCTCCTTCCCTTCCCCTCTAAAGAAAAAAAAAAAAAAAGAAGAAGAATACGAAGAAGTAGAACAACTAACAAAAGAACAAAAACCCTACAGTTTTCTTCAATACTTATAAAACAGAACTGTGACCATTTCAAGCTTTACAAAGCCATTGTCTGGCTGAAAGGCTCCATTCAATCAAATATTCTGCTCAATTTCCATATACCACAAATGTATAGCATGCATTTTGATCAAGCACCATCCTTTCTACATATTTGAAGAAATATTTAAGATTCTACAGGAAACTCTAAAGATGACATGTTTTAAAAATTCAGGGACAATTTTGAAATAATCACTTTTCAACTGGAGAATTTTCCATTCTGCAGACTGGAATGGTTGAATTGCTGTGTTGACTAGAAAAAACTGGTCATCAATCTGAAGTATTATTAATAAGCTTTCTTAAAAGAATGAGCATGATTTCCTTTAAAAATGCAATTGCAAACCTAAACTATGACATTGATCAATAAGAAAATGCTATACGCAGCACATTCAGAAATATGTCTTTGTCCTCTTAAAAACAATCCAAGCAGGTTTAGCATCTACAAAGAATCGGTTTGCAATCACTTCAAAATGTCCACCTCCTTAATCTCCTTACCACTTCAAGGTAAATTCACCGAAAGTAAGCAAAATATGACTAAGACATTGATTTCTAAAACCTTCCGTCAAACCTCTGGAGTGAAATAAAACCCCAATGGCAAATGCATTATTTTTATAAATCACTGGCTGAACAAACTACTGTGATTTTAAGGTAAAAAACCTCTCCTAAAGCAACCGGGTAGGCGCAAATCACCAGTCAAGAGACTGAAGTAAAAGAGAAAAAACCCGGGTCAAGGGACAAGTTGCTTCATTCTGGGTGAGCAGTGTCAGGGGTGAGGCCATGCCGGCTGGGAATTTCTCAGGCTCCCCTTCCCTGGACAGTTACAGGTGTTGGAGTTCTAGCTCCCCGAACCGGCTTGAGGTTCGGGAAGAACCCATCAACCCTACTTTATCTTCTCCAACAAGGAAACTTGGGTGGTTGGGGGAACAATACGTTCTTCTTGCAGACAAACGAAACCTGGCTGGGATCGTGGGATCGTCCTGCCTCTTCGGAGAGCTGTCCCCAGCCCGGGCCGGGGTCTGGAAGGCGCTGTACAAAAGGGAGTCGAGCCCACTTATGTGTTCACGCTCAGACAGGGCAGAGGTGGGAACCCCGCTCCAGGCGGGGGTGGGGTAGCGAGTACCCCAAGGCTAAGTCGCCCCCAGCCCCGAAGCGAGCGCGGCGTCGGGACAAACCCCACTGACAGTCACCCAGAGAGACTTTGGGGCGGGAGGGCCGAGTTCCGGCACGCTGGGCTCCTGGGGGTTTCCCTCCCTGGGGAACACGCTCCCCTCTCCGTCCCTCGGTCCGGGGGAGAGGGCGACAGGGATCCCGCGGGGCCTCACCAGGCGGAGCTGACTAATTTCGTCGTAGGACATAAAGCTGAGGATGTTCTCGATGGCTACGATGGGCAGCGCCACCAGCGTGTTGTTTTGAGGCAGCTGGTCCGGAGCCAGCGCTGGGGCTGGGGGCGCCTGGGACCCCGGCTGTGGGGCCGGGGGTGGGGGCGGTGGGGGCAGTCGCTGGGTAGAGCCGATGGCCGAGGAGGAGCCGCTGTCGCCGTGGCCGCCGCCTCCTTCTTCAGCCATCCGCTCCTCCGACGCCGCCGCCATCTTGGGGGTTTAATTCCTTCCCCCCACTGCAAGGGGGATCAGGGACACTTCCTGTGCGTCACTTCCTCCTCTTGAGCCGCTAGGGCGGGAACTCCTGGAGGAGGGGCGGAGCCTATGGGTGACCCGGTGAGAGCGCACAGCTGTTTTTTCAAGTGGCAATGAGGGTAGGTCTGTAGACTCCTGGAGAGGTGATCTCTCATCTAAAACTGGAGTTGACTCGAGGGGAAGGGAACCCTGTCTATTAAAATTGATTTCCCCAGTGCAGTTTTATTACAGAGCTTCTTGGCAAAGGATGATAAAAATAATGTTGCGTAATAAATGTAGACAGGACGATGTATTCAGAATATCATTTTTCAAAAATCATACCAATAATTGATATAGATAAATAAAAAGGAATGAAGTATTAATTAAAGCTACAATATGGATGGATGAAGCTTGAAAATGCGTTAAATGAAAGAAGCCAGACACAAAGGACCACGTATTATCTGATTCCATTGATATGAAATGTCTGAAATAGCCAAATCCAGAGAGTTAGAAAGTGGAGTAGTGGTTTCCAGAGGCTAAAGGGAGCAGAGGAAAGGGAAGAGCTTACTAAGGAGGCCAAGGTTTCTTTTTGCGGCCATGCGGATCTTTGGATCTCGGTGATGGTTGCACAACGTGTGAGCGTACTGAAAACCACAGGGTCTTACACTTTAAAGTAGTAAATGTTATATGTGAGTAATAGCTCAGTAAAATTTTTGATTTAGTAAGAATCATCAGAAGACAAAAACTAAAAAGTAAAGCTGCGATGATGTGGAATGTAATATTTACGTAGTCTCAAAATAACTCCCCACAAATTACATATTGATTACAAAGATAAAAGAGAAGTTTATAATAGAGAAACTTGCTAGACACCACCATAACCAAATGACCAAAATTAGTACCATGAGTTATGGGAGGAATGAACATCATGTACCTTATGATATGATGCCCCAAAGGACATAACACAATGTATGTTCCTGTAAAATAATACGTATAATGTATACAAGATGAACAAACCTAGATAACGTCTCCATGTTCTTCAAAGACATTAATGTCATAGCCCTGACTGGTGTGGCTCAGTTGGATGGACATCATTCTGCAAGGTGAAAGGTCACTGGTTACATTCCTGGTCAGGGCACATGCCTGGGTTGTGGGTTTGGTCCTGGGTGGGGGAGGTAGGAGAGGCGACCAGTTGATGTTTCTCTTTCACATCTGTGTTCCTCTCCCTTTCTTTCTCCCTTCCTTCACCCACCCCTGCTCTAAAAATAAATAAATAGTATCTTTGAAAAAAAAGTAATGTCATAAAAGACAATGACTAAGGATTTGTCCCAGGTTAAAAGAGATTAAAGAGGCAAAACAAATAAATCTATGGGTGACCCTGAATTGGTTTAGAAAAACAGCTCTAAAGAACATTATTGTGATAATTGGTAAACTTTGAATATGACCTGTACATTAAATAATTATATATAATAACATTAAATTAACTGATTTGGATCATTTTATTAGGGTCTTGTAAGAGAATGTCCTTGTTCTTAGGAAACATATGTTGAAATATTTAGATGTAAGGGGGCAGGATGTTTCAGTTTGCTCTCAAATGGTTCCATAGACAGAGAGTGCGGTTAATGCAGCAAATATGATAAATGTTAACAGTTGGAGAATCT